CAGACCTGCGATCGGCACCCCATACCTGCCGACGCTTTCAGCGCCCGAGCTCGCAGCTTTTCGCAACGATCCAACCTTCAACCCCACGACGACCAAGAATAAACACTGCTGCTACCAACAATGGCGATCGCTGCATCCGTTGATAGTCCCGTCAAGCAGCAGCTTGTGGATAAGCTGCCAAAGCGGTTCAAGGGCATCAAGTTTGGTATCCAGTGAGTTTGACTTCGTGTGGTGGAATGGTCACCACTCTTACCTTGGACCTCCAAGCTGACTTCACAACCTTCGTTAGATCCAATCAAGATATCGCCAACCAGGCTGTTCTTGAAGTTTCCGACCGTTTGCTCTATGACATTGAGAATAACCGCGCTCCATATCGCCACGGCCCTCTAGACTCTCGACTGGTATGTGATGCTGTTAACGACTTGGCAATAGTCCAGTTCAAAACTCATTCTGTTTTAGGGCACATCGAGTAAACAAGGAAGATGTTCGACTTGTCAAGAATCTCTTAAGGATTGCAATGGACATTTTGGTCATGTCCGTCTTCCTTTACCCGCCTTCCACGTGGGTTATCTTCGCTTTATTATGTCAATTCTCCAGGAGATTTGCAAGGTAAGCTAACCGTTCTTGTATGAATGACTTCTTTATAGAGAGCTAATGGTTTCCTAGGACTGCGGCCGAGTTTTGCTCGAAGAACCCGAACGACAACAGTTTCTCAAGGAACTGAGACGACCGTTTTTGGACAACTTGCGACGGACCCAGATATGCAAAAAGATTAATGAACAGTGCCGGAAGATTAAGACATGCCCTTACTGTGGCTCCTTGAATGGCCAAATTCGGAAGATCGGTGTTCTCAAGCTTGCTCACGACAAGTTCGTTGCTTACAATAAATCAACTGCTGCGAAGAAAGTCCCGCCTGAGAGCAAGATCAAATTTGACAACTCCTTCAACGAGGCAAAACGCGAGAACCCAGAGCTGGACAAGCACCTTAGGAAGGCTATGGAAGACCTCAACCCCCTCAGAGTTCTCAATCTCTTTAAGATGATCAGTCCTACCGACTGCGAGCTTCTAGGTCTGGATCCTGCAGAGGGACGACCAGAGATGTTTATCTGGCAATTCCTACCCGCCCCTCCTGTCTGTATCAGACCATCCGTCGCTCAAGACAATGCGAGCAATGAGGACGACATCACCACCAAACTAGCTGATATCGTGTGGGTTAGTGGTATGATTCGGTCTGCTCTGCAGAAAGGCTCTCCAGTCCAAACCATCATGGAACAGTGGGAGTATCTACAGACTCAGATCGCCATGTACGTCAATAGCGACGTTCCTGGCCTTCAACAGCCCGGGTTTGGTAAAGCCACGAGAGGTTTCTGCCAGCGTCTGAAAGGCAAACAGGGTCGCTTCCGTGGCAACCTTTCCGGAAAGCGTGTTGACTTTTCAGGAAGAACCGTCATCTCCCCCGACCCTAACCTTGGTATTGACCAAGTTGCTGTGCCACAACTAGTTGCGAAAAACCTGACTTACCCAGAAAGAGTTCAGCGACACAACCTCGAGAAGCTTCGCCAATGTGTCAAAAATGGACCAGACATTTGGCCAGGAGCTCAGCGGGTCATCAAGTCAGATGAAGGTGGCTACCTACAATCTCTTAAATTCGGCAATAGAGAGTACATAGCTCGAGACCTCAAGTTTGGTGACATCGTTGAGCGGCACCTTGAGGATAACGACATTGTTCTCTTTAATCGTCAGCCTTCTCTGCACAAGCTAAGTATCATGAGCCATCTCGCCAAAGTTCGCCCCTGGAGAACCTTTAGGTTGAACGAATGTGTTTGTGGACCTTATAATGCCGACTTCGACGGCGATGAAATGAACCTTCATGTGCCACAGACGGAGGAGGCTCGTGCTGAGGCCATCAATCTGATGGGCATCAAGCACAACCTAGCCACACCAAAGAATGGCGAACCTGTCATCGCTGCTACGCAGGATTTTATCACAGCAGCTTTCCTGCTGAGCAGCAAAGACCGGTTTTTTGACCGCAAGACCTTTACCTATCTCTGCATGCACATGATGGATGGGAAGACACACCTGGACATGCCACCTCCAGCCATTATTGCACCTCAATCGCTCTGGACAGGCAAACAACTCTTTAGTATGCTCATGCGACCTAACAAGGACTCGCCTGTCAAGGTCAATCTTGACGCAAAATGCAGAGCTTACAAAGCGCGACCTGGCCAATGCCCCGATATGGACCCCAACGACGGCTGGCTTGTTGTCCGCAACTCGGAAGTAATGTGTGGCCGCATGGACAAGTCTACTGTCGGAACAGGCAAGAAAGATTCAATTTTTTATGTGATTCTCCGTGATTTTGGACCAGACGAAGCTGTCATCGCCATGAACAGGCTGGCTAAACTATGTGCGCGGCAACTCACAAATCGAGGATTCTCGATTGGTGTGGGAGATGTTTTCCCAACAGAATCACTAAATAAAGAGAAGGAGAAACTTGTTGCTGTCGCCTACAAGCAGTGTGATGATCTGATCGAAACATTCAAGGCAGGAAAGCTTGAGAAAGCTGCTGGCTGTAACCAGGAGCAGACGCTCGAAAACTCCATGTCCGGTATTCTCAGCAAAGTTCGACAGCAGGCAGGTTCTTATTGTGTCGACACATTGAGCCGTAATAACGCCCCCCTTATCATGGCCAAATCCGGATCGAAGGGTTCAGATATCAACGTGGCGCAGATGGTTGCTCTTGTTGGGCAGCAGATTATCGGTGGTTCACGTGTTGCGGATGGGTTCCAGGATCGAACGCTTCCACATTTCCATAAGAACGCTCGACAGCCCCCATCGAAAGGATTCGTCAAGAACAGTTTCTACACTGGCCTATTCCCCACCGAATTCATCTTCCACGCTATGTCAGGCCGTGAAGGTTTAGTCGATACAGCCGTCAAGACCGCCGAGACTGGTTATATGTCTCGACGACTAATGAAGTCGCTCGAAGATTTGTCTACTCAATATGACGATACTGTCCGGACGTCCGGAGGCGGGATTGTTCAGTTTCAGTTTGGTGCAGACAAGCTCGATCCTGTGGATATGGAGGGCTCGGCAGAGCCAGTTCATTTCCAACGGACATGGACTCATGCCGAGAGTTTGACAGTGGATAACAGCGAGACCTCTATGACACCAGAGGAGATTCGATCCTTTTGCGATAAAGTGCTAGAAACTGAACGACGGCGTTATGTCAGGCGCGGGTTACTGCATAATGAGATTTTGGATTACGGGGATACGAGTGATTATGGTATCGATGAGCACGAGGGTGCTCGAGGATTCCTCAAAGCGATTGAACGACATGTCGAAGGGCTGGCGTCAAAACTGGAGACCGTACGAAAGTTGGCTGGATTCAAAGGTGGTGCCATGGTAAGGTCGACTGCTCAAGACCACGCGGATCGAACTGCCAAGGTGACGCTGTCAACTCTTCGACTCTTCATCAAGATGTGCCTGGAGAAGTACAAGAAGGCGCATGTTGAACCTGGACACGCTGTTGGAGCTGTCGGAGCCCATTCAATTGGTGAGCCAGGGACCCAAATGACACTCAAAACATTCCATTTTGCTGGTGTCGCAGGTATGAGTATCACGCAAGGTGTTCCCCGAATCAAGGAAATCATCAACGCGTCAAAGGCCATTAGCACACCTGTCATCACATGCCCTCTCGAGAACAACGAGCAAATCGAAGCAGCTCGGGTTGTGAAGGGACGAATTGAGAAAACCTATATCTCGGATGTCCTGCGGTTCGTTGAAGATGAATGGCGCACGACAGAAGGCAACGTTGTTCTACAGATTGACTCCGCCGCTCTTTCAGATATGCACCTTGGCATTGGCCCTTACGATATTGCTGAGGCTATTTGTAAGCAGCGCAAACTCAAGGTGCAAAGAGATGATCTATCAATCGATGGAGAGCGGATCATCGTTCGCGTACGGGACGTTACCGATCCGGCGACAAAGAGGACTACGGCTCGCAGCAAAGCTGCTGCCGCTGAGACTGGAGACATGCTGTTGAGGGCCAACTTCTTGCGCCGCTCACTCCCCAATGTCCCCATCTCAGGTTATCCTGAAGCCACGCGAGCGATCATTCAAACATCGGAACAGAGCACTCATACTGTGCTTGTTGAAGGCTACGGTCTCCGAGAATGTATGACTACAGAGGGTGTTATTGGCACAAAAGCCCGTACCAACAATGTCATGGAGTGCCGGGATGTACTTGGTATTGAAGCAGCCAGAACCACCATTGCTGACGAGATTGGTGAGGTGATGGGCGATATGGGCATCGATCCGCGACACATGCAACTTCTTGCAGACGTTATGACCTACAAAGGTGAAGTGCTCGGCATTACTCGTTTCGGGCTGTCCAAGATGCGCGATAGTGTTCTACAATTGGCTTCGTTCGAGAAGACCCCGGATCATCTCTTCGAAGCTGCAGCTGGCATGAAGACCGATCAAATTGAGGGTGTCAGTGAGTGTATCATCATGGGACAAACAATGTCGGTCGGCACTGGTGCATTCCAAGTTGTTCGTCGATTGGGTATCAGGGAGGGAGATATCAAGCAGAAACCGACGCTGTTCGAGGATGCGTGGACGGAGGAGACGGCACTTAAGCGCAAGGCTCGCCGAAAGGCCTGAGAACAAGACTATATCTACTGTACTGGATTACAATGCGTGGCGTGATGGATGCATGCCGATATAGCGATACCATAAGAATTTGTTGTTTTAGTACTGGGGCGAAAAGGTATAATATTACGAACTTCATTTATGAGATGAGAAAAAATTCGTATATCAGTGGTAAAATCTCCCTAGTTGTTTTTTTAGGTCACATATTTCTCCTGGCCCCAAGTCTGAGACAAACAACATTTCGTCATACTTTGACCCACGTGATCTCACTAATACATGGCACCGTGAATGCCACATGAGAGGGTGGGATATCTAAACAACATCACCACTCTAAAAAGACGTACATCATGTGCGGAAGATATGCATTGGCCCTGGTGAGTATGCAGTGAAATGTAGATTGCTGGTGAGTTTGCTAAGTACGACTTGCAGCGGCCGTCCCAGATCCGTCAGATGCTCGAGGAAGACGGACTGGAGATTGATGATGCACCAGAAGATGTCGGGGATGGTGCCCCTCGAAGCAGCTATAACTTTGCCCCAGGGTATCACGGCGTCGTTTACCGCGCTAGCACATCAGACCAAAATACTACACGAGAAGATGAACCACGTGAGAAGCAGAACGACGCCACTCAGGATCCCAAGTACCCAAAGGACTATATCAAGTACAAGCTACAGTCAATGAAATGGGGCCTTGTCCCTTCGTGGACAAGAAGGAACCCAGATTATGGTTCCATGTTGAAGACCATCAACTGCCGTGACGACTCACTCAGCTCACCTGGAGGAATGTGGGCCAGCATGAAGACTCGCAAAAGATGCATCGTGATTGCTCAAGGATTTTATGAGTGGCTCAAAAACGGAAAGGAGAGGTTGCCTTACTACGTGACACGAAAGGACGCACATTTGATGTGCTTTGCCGGCCTTTGGGACCGCGTACAGTTTGAAGGTAATGAATACCTTACGAGGTGTCACTAAAGCAGGACTGACATCTGACAGGGTCGGGAGAAACATTATACTCGTACACAATCATCACCACAAGCACCAACTCAGAACTCAAGTTTCTTCATGATCGTATGCCTGTGATCTTTGATCCTAACTCATCGAGTATTGCGACATGGCTTGACCCATCCCGAAAACATTGGTCCGATGAGCTGCAAGGACTTCTGAAGCCGTTCGAAGGAGATCTGGATATTTATCGAATTTCTCAAGATGTCGGCAAAGTCGGCAACAACTCACCCACCTTTATCGTCCCATTAGACAGCAAGGCGAACAAGTCAAACATAATGAACTTCTTCAACAATGACCACCAAAGGAATCAGAAGTCATTGCAGCCAGCGATAGATAAAGGAGCTCAAGTTTTAAAAGGGGAAAATGAGAAACAAAGCGGGACTGTTCGAAAAGATAGGCGATTGGTAGCTGAAGGATCGAAAGCTGTAAAACGCAAGGCCAATGAGAGTCTTGATCCCTATGATGCTTTAGAGGGTAATCCAAAGCGGCAACATAGAGGTCATGTCAGCGCATTGAAAAACAAAAGGCAAGATAAAGAGAAGTATAAGGAGGAAGGTTTAAGAAAAATAACTAGGTTTTTTAATAGTAAAGAATAATATATATTAATATTTCTTTTCCTTATTATTCAACTTATATAAGGCTATTAAGCTTTTTAACTTTATTTTATAAAAGCTTAAATAATAAAACCTTTATAT